GCTGCTGTGTAATATAAAGATTTGTTACAAAGTAGCGGCGTTTGAGCAGAGGAACATAAGATGGGAGTCTCTGACAGTTCTGGATGGAAGTGGAGTGATTTTTTAAAAACTGTTTTCTCCAACTGATTGATGGAGAAAGTTATGGACCATGGAATGCATCTGAACAACAGGGGTGGGGGCAGGGTGGGGTCATAAAGTCAAGTCCACTTGTCTGTTTGCTTTAGAAAAACTCAGATATAAATTTTTGTTAAAAAAAAAAACGCACACACATAATTCATAATAAAGTTTGATCAGTTTGCATCGAATTATTTATCAGTAATGTTTTTGCGATTGTCCATCATTGCATTCTTAATGATGTTCCGAAGAGTTACTGGGCTACAAGCCCAAGTACCCCCCCCCACCCCGGTTCAGTGGTCCATACATGAAGGGGCAATAGCTATTTAGACAGGAGGTCAAGATGTCAAGATCAGGTGTGCAGATTCTTTAGGTAAGTTCTTCATGCTTAATGTTACAGCCATAGATGATCATTTTATTTCATGTCATTTATATGCAATATTCAACAGTTTGATGCTTGTCTTATTTTCATATATATAATACTTAATACTGAATATTTTATAGTATCTATTTCAGTTAGCAATAATGTGTAAATCAAGACCCCCATGTTGATAGTTGTGGCATCACCCCTTTTGTACATAAAAAGGGCCCCTTGGTTATGTGCGGTTTTGTTGGAAGTAATAACTGGGTTGGAAGGAAGGATTTTAAAAGCGGGGAGCAAAGCAGTTTTTTGACCATGTGAAGAGATTGTGACTTTTTCATTGTAAGAAAATACTATAAACTGGATTCTAGTTATGTTTATGGATAATGCTTTTTTTTTGTTGCATTTTATCACTTTGCATGAGTCCATTACCGAACTCAAACGCTTTACAGAATGCAGATATCGTATTTGTCGCCATAACACCTATTTTCAACTTACAGGAATCAACCAACACGAGGATCCCAATGTGAATGACCAGTAAGGTGAAAAACGAGAATTACAGATGGTGTGTTCCAGCAGATTAAGTAGACAGGAGTTGTAATAGTCAAGCCAAGATATGAGGAGGCCCACAGCTAAGCAGACATGGGCTGCAGGCTGGACCCAGAGGATGCAGCGCAGACGCAAACTGCAGGATCAGATCACGGATGTTATGTGCTGGCAGAAGGCTGGACTTGGGGGTGATGCCAAGAGGCCGGTTCTTAATGACGTGCGGGTTATTTGTGCGGTGAGTCGAAAGTAGGATAAGGAGCACGGCCGTCCTGGAGAGGGTCGGGTTACAGATGGATGGATCCAGGTGGGGGCTTTGGCAGAACAAGAATCAATGTGGGTGGAGACCTGTGTCTCTGAGCATCACAGAGAGATATTGATGAACGTGACCTTCACAGCAACGGTGGGAACACTGAGACAACACGTCTGAGGTATAGAAGAGGAGACCAGAGCAGTTCTTACAAGATTCCTCATGTTGCCAGAGATAATATCCATAGATTAAGGCTCACTTCCATCTTTCTTATTGTAAATGCCATTTTGTATAAATGACGTATTACTGAATTGCCACACAACCTTGTCAAGTGCCTTTGGCGACTCTGTTGTGAAAGGCGCTATCCAAAAATATATTTCATAAACTGGATTGAATAGTGCAGCAACAAGCTGGGTCACGTGGGGTCACCTGCCCTTGAGTCATGATTCACAGTGGACCTATGGCGTGCCACCATAACGCGAGATGGCAGAGGAGTGTGGCAGCTGACGCCCCCATCCAGTCGTGCATACTGGTCCAGGAGAACGGCAGCACAGGAGGGGGAGGGCGGCCTGGCCTGGTTGAGCGGGGCGCCAGGCAGATGGCGTGGAAGGGGGGCGGAGGCGGACGTCCAGCCCTGAAGAGCGATTAGCACGGGAGGAGCCGGCGGGAACGACGGCCAGGCTCGCCGAGGCGTGCACGCCTGTCTAAAGTGATCAACAGCCTCATGCTAATGTCGAATTCCCTCCACGGCGTCATTGTGAAAACGAACACGCGTTTACAGAGGTCTGTTTAACTTACCTGTCAGCATAACAGATAGTAAAAATAAATAAAATGAGAGCAGAAACAGAATTTATACAGAATATAATTTAACATTCTTAACTATCTTCAGAGTAATATTTTCTGCTTGTTTACCACTCTAAACCACCAATGCCATGTTTATTATCTCCGCTTCTAAAATGTTTCATTTAATATTAATAAATCACTACCTCCTCTGACCACTAGGGGCAATAAATCACACAAAAAGAATTTTAATTTATTATTTTTTTTTATACCTTACCTAAAAAAATTGAAGTTGTGAGCGCATGGAGCGCGGCAAAACAGTCAAAAAAATATGCTGTTGTGACTCAACCAGCATTGTTTTCCTTGGACAATATTTCACAAATCCACAGAAAAATACTTGTAACATTGGATAGAAACCAAGTATTCATCAGTAGATTAAAAAAAAAAAAGAGCGTGCGAAAATCCAGATCTGTATATATCCTTGAAAATGTTATAATAGCATTTATTAACTTTACGATTGAAACTAAACCACCATTGTTTAAGGTACTAAATAAAGTGAGAAGCTATTGTAAAGTGATGTGTGCGGGTGTTGAAGACAAAAAAGACAGACAAAGAGGTGTAAAACGAGGGGGTGATGGGCAGAAAAGGGGCCCTCCAGAGTCGCATCAAAATAAGCCTGTGCAACTGGCAATAAAATAATGGTATAAGCAGATGCTCCACATCACGCCAAAGCCAGGCATGTCGATTCGCTATGTCATCTGCATGATGTGCATTTGGCTAGCAAACATCTGCCTAAGTCTAAATTTAGCGCATGCAGAATAGAAATATATTTAAATACTGGAAATGGCCCAAAAAAATGTGACTTATACGCCGATGCATATATTGCAGTTTTATTCCGAATGTAATGTGTTTCTCTCCAAATATGCGATTTATGTATGGGCACGTGTGTTTTTTGGCCGTTTGCAACTGTTTAAATACATTAAAAATGAATGAAATACATTTTAAATTTGTATCTGCTAGTAAACTCAAAACACTAAAAATATCGCACAAGATATAAATCAAATGTAAAATGTATACCCCTGAATTTTTTTACGGTGAGAAACAAAAGGTAAAAATACAAAATCTGCAAAATATTAATTAGCGTAATACTAAATCGAAGCTTAAACCCTTTGCCCTGAACAGAATGAAATTTTAGTGCAATCTGTACCAAGTCACTTAAAATGTTACCCTTGGAGCGAACTGGAAAAGTTCGGCAGATTTTTTCCAGGGATTTAGCTGGTATTATCATCAGCGCTTAACGTTTCCATGTATTTGCCATTTAAGATTTTCTGAGAATCTAAAAAGAATAAAAAAGATGATTTAGTGATTTTTTTTCTGTAAACTGTTCGATGGTAATGTTGTCGCCGGATGAGTCATAGATACATGCAAACGGTTTGAATGGCCGCTTGGAGGAGACTCTCTGTGACAAACAGGCAATAAATGAGGGGAAAATGATACTTAAGCTGACTTTTTCCACACTGTAGTTCCTTTTTTGGCAATTCCCCTACATGTCAGGACCTCGATTCGCCATATCAGTTTGGCCGGCCTTCCACCATGCTCCGGATGAACCCGCGATACATTAGCTGATGGCTTCTGTACACGCGATGTAGAACGGGCCAGCGTGTCGTTCCCAAGACCCGTGCCCATCTGCTGGAGTAGTTTGTTCCGCCGTGACCCGGTTCCAGCGTGTTCCGCCTTATCTCACGCAAGTAGGAGCCCCGGAGTTAAGGGAGGACATTCTATCTGACGCTTGGGAGGGACGCCTCGCACTGGGATGGCTCTGACTGCCGGTCCACACGTCCGAGTCCCGCCCAAATGCCGCCGCGTCTGCGTCTGTCATGTTATTTTTTAAAAATGTTTTTTTGCACAGAACCATGACCTCAGCCGGGGCCTGGCCCGCAGTCGCTCCCCTCCTCGAAGATGTGGGAATCCCATCGTTTCTCATGGAAGGAGGAAGCAGGGAAACCTACCACAGTCTGGCCCTTTAATTACGTCCCCTAACACCTGTAATCTAAGGTCACTGACTTCAAACAGCAGAACCTCTGGCACATCTCGCGATAATGAAAGTGCTTTACCCTGAGCGCTAACATATTAGCACTGCCCCATGTTTTTAACCCTCGATCAGCCTCTCAAATCATTACAAATGAACAAGCACATTTACATTTATTTATTTATTTATTTATCTATCAGATGTTTTTATCGAAAGGAACACGGAGTGGTGATGCAGGATCAGCAAGTCCCTGGTGCAGTTGGAAGGTTGAGGGTCTTGCTCGATCGCCCAATGGTGAAATCACACTGCCAGCCCAGAGATCTGAACCGGTGACTTTCCAGTTACAGGTATAGCAGCATACCCCGTTGAGACACAGATATTTACATTACAGTATATTAAAATGTACATATTTACATATATTTCATTTTTATCTGAAGTGACATGCAAGTCAAGCAGATAGCAAGTTACAAATATATGCACCGTCAACTCGGCGGATCTTCCAATGAAGGCCCAGGTACGAGTGTATGCAGTATTGGAATCAGGAACTACATAGCAAGCAAGCAGACAGAGCAAGAATCTAATAAAACTATTCAATGACCAGAAATGCAACATAACATAACATTCAGGGAATGTAAAGAGGCAACAGACTAGTCGAGGAAATCATGGAAAAGATGAGTCTTCAATCGTGTGGGTGATTGTTATTGTAGTCACAGTAACCATAATCAGACAAAATCAATGCACGTGGGAGTTTTACTTACGCAAAAATGCTCTGAGGGCAGAACAAAAAAATGATTTGAGAGATAATCAATCAGACTGTAGAGGAGGTAGGTCAAGCAACTAGAGGAGGCGGGACCAAGACATCTGATTGGTTGATTCCCTCTGGTTGCTTAGACCCACCTCCTCTACAATCTGATTGGTCATCTCTCTGAACCAGTCATTTTTTTTGTTCTGCCCTCAGAACATTTTTGTTTAAGTAAAACTCCCGTGAGCAAGATGCACATACCATGCCAATGCATGTGGTGTATTGAACCCGCATTTCCTGAATTTGCAGCCTGGTTTTGCTGCCCTTTTGAAGTTAACGGCGACTATGGTGGCAGTATCTCAATTCAAGGCCGTGTCAGACAATGCTATAATTGGATAATAAGTAATAGCTTTCCTCACCTTTATTGAGGGTAAAGACTGACCCAATAACAAGCACCAAACACAAAACCGTGACCGAATAATTAAACACTGAGTGAAAAAAATTAAATTTCAAGGAGGGATCATGAATAACTCTTAATAAAGTATGTTGTTGCTGCTTACACAGAAAAAGACCAAGGGAATATTTCTCTCCTGAGAATAGTACAAAGCCCAAAAGAATGAGAAGACTCCAGAAAATCCACGTTTAATTAGTAATATGCGTTCAGCATTGCTTGGAAAACAACAAATACCTTTTTATCTGAAAACAGAAAGAAAAGTCAGCCACACTTCCCATGAATAATGGCATATCAGTATAGCAACCCAACAATAACAGTTCATATTTTGTCCAATTATCAAACAAAGCTGTACAGTAAGCAGGGTTTGAGAACGTGATTTGTTTCTTAACGGCAAAGACACATTCATAAGTGGCATTTCGATCAAACAGGCTCAAAGTTAGAGTCTTACCACGAGTTCATGAAAACAAACACAGGACATTCTTTCCAAAGTCAAATTCCATGTTTATAAGAGATATTTATATATAATTGTCATGAAATGCCATTAACACAAATTCCTGATAGCATATTTTTCAGGGGTAACTGAATAGAATTAATATGTTTACAATATGAATTAAGGTGTTTACAGGCCAGAAACTAGCTTGAGATCAAATCTTTATCCATTATTTGATTTCATGGAGCCAGTGTGTTTATATCTAACTCAAAATGTCTAATTATTCGATAAATATAATTACAGTGTCTGAGAACAGTCAGGAATATTCTGTTGTATATTGCAGCAAGGTTAGTGGTGTCCATGTAGTGGAGATAAAATCCCCTTATTAGTCACGCTGTTGCTAACAAATCATTACGAGATACGAACAGTCTGGGGTGAGACAGTGTTTTCTCTGGGACAGGGGCCCAGGTCTGGTCCACGCCCCGTCCAGAGCGAGAAGACCCTTCCCAGAGGAGCTGAGGGCCGCGCCCACGGAGATGTGCTCCAGTCACACGGACCCCCACTCACCTCCCACCGTGCAGTCGCCACTCAGAAAGCACGAGTCAGAACTGAAGCATCTGCATGAGGGTGCGGAGAAGCCAATCAGGCGTCGGCGGGGGGGGGCTTCTCCGGGGGACTCCGCCACTGGATTGTGTCACAGGATACCACGTTATGGGTTTGCTCAGCTTCCAGTGATGCGGCTGCCATGCCTGGGTGGTTTCCTCCCACATTACCTCAGCATGGAGTACAGTTTCGTGCCTGGACACTCTGGAAAAAACACAGACAGAGACAGAAACACGGCAGCTGACCTCGCCATACAGCAGACGCTTGTAGGATCCCAATGACGTGCTGATGCTCGTCAATGTCAACGCGCATGCTTACATTTTACAGTCTTCCCACACCAATAAATGTCTGTACTCTAACTTTGTGCTTTGTTTTTTAAAACTATTCAAACTGATAAATTGATTTTCAGAGCTGCAGCTGTTGTTATTCATTTTACTCATTTATTCCAGTTTTGTGACCCCTGAGTTCATCTACCTTCCAATCCCTTTTCCAGTACAGGGTCACTCTCAGCCTAGAGCCTATACCAGGAACTACAGAGCCGGGGGTGATTCTAGGATTTTTTTTAAGGTGGGGGGGCATAGGAGGGACCATAATTAACAAGAGGGGATTAGCTATTGATATGTTTTGAATTTGTGAGTGACAGGGAGTGGGTACTCTGGGGGCCAATCAGCTTTCAGTTGGGCCCAGTGTCTCTGTGACCCCGCCCCCTGTATCCACCCCTGCCCAGTGCACAAGGCAGAAGAATACCTAGGATGGGATGTCAGTCCATCGCAGGGCACAGACTCTCATACCTAGTCAAACCATAAGAACAAATTATAGTCACCAGTTTACCTAGCTGTCTTTGTTAAGTGAGATGAGACCCACAGAAACGTGTAGAGATACAACCCCAGTCACACAGAGATAGGGGAGAGACTCAAACTCACAACCTTGGGCATGTGAACCTACAGCGCTAATATGCTGCCTACCTCTGGGTTTAGCAAAGTCTCAGCACTTCAGATTCAGTGACCAGGCGATGCTACCAATCGTCGTGCGAAGAGACCACTCGAGGATACGTCTCATTTCCACACAGTAACATTTGTTCTCTGTGTTAGTGGCACTCTGTCTTCATTAAGTTTCATCGGGGGGAATCTGATCCAGCGTGTCACTCTCCATCTTAACAGGAAAAAGATTCCAGTTTAGCTTTCCAGTTCACCCCATCTGATCCATGTGTATTACAGAATAGCATTATACCTGCCCTCTGAGCCGAACAATTTTATAGTATCTCACAGCTATGGACAATTTGGTAACTCCAGTTCACCCTAGTAGATGTCTGGTGTATGGGGAGAAATCCAGACAAATCCCCATGATGACACAGGGAGAATATGCAAACTCCACATGCGTAAAGCAGGGGGTGGAATCAAACCCTGGTCTACAGAGGCGTGAGGTGACTATGCTCCAGTCGGAAGGAATTATTCAATGAATTACTTCTGCAAAATCATTTCAAAAAGGTGAAACTGGGTTAATGGTCTGTCTTCTAACATGAGAGCTTCCATTTACGAAGTAATCAGCTGAGGCCCAATCAGGAAAAATAGTGATGCAATTGTTCAATTGTGTAGCACTTTCTGAATGGCCACCAGAGGGATGGCGTGAAAACCACAGTCATAGGTCTGTCCTAATTCACTGATGTCATAGGTCAGTCCTTACTCACTGATGTGCAATATTACTGTAGCAAGATCGTACTGCTGAGAGATCATGGGGCGGTGCCACATAAAATTAAATGAATTGGAATCTGGGTAAACAATGGAACAAACAAGTAGAAATGAGCCAAACGAAAGTAAACAGTAACACAGCCTTCCAAACAATTAGTAAACATATTTAAATATAAAGTGCTTTTTATTAAGTGTTCGAATTAGCTTGCGGACAACTAATTGTTTACATCATATCGTCGAAAAGACTGGTTTATTTTGTAAGTGTGATGTGATTTCAACACAAGATATTATGTGCTAGTAGCACGATTTCAAAAGAGGTGATTCCTCCCTCTTTAGCCGGTTTCGTAGCTATGCTGGCTTTGCTCTAGGTACTTTTCGCTCTGTAATTCCTGATGCCAGTAATGTGAGCCATGTGTTTTGTAATTGATTGGATGGCTAAACATTTTTATAAGGTACTAGAAGTAAACATTTGACTATTTCTGAGTACACGTCTAAAAAGATCTGAAGAGTTTCCCTCATCCCTATTTGGCATTCTGCGGCATAGTGAGTGTTTTTGAAAACGAAGGGGTAGTCAATAAATTCAGAACTGAAAATGCTTACAGACAAACAGAAGGTCATCACCCTAGCATGTACCGAGAGATGCTTAGGAAAAGAATTCTCGAAGAATCTGTTAGACATCTGTTCTTAGTGACTCAGCCAGACAAAAATAATGAAATCACCAGAACGAAAGAGGGTAAAAGAAAACAGCAAGGTGGTTTTAATTACAGAGCTATAGATAACCTTCAATTTCAGCTTGAACTCAAAAGACAAACATTAAATTCACACCCTTAGCTCATAGACGCCTTTTTCTAATGAAAACCGATACTCTGCGTCAGTCCTGGACATCATCAGCTATAGGCACCTTTCAGGCGAACATCTCCAAAGCTTGACATGAACAACCATAAACAGTGGGGGGGGGGGGGACGCAGCAACGGCTCACGCGAGGCTCGTTCTTTTTTTTTCTTTTTTTGTGAGACTTGCAAGCTGAGCGGCTGCCATCAGAACCACAAAGTGGTTTGCTGGGGAAAAAAAAAAATCTCACAACATCTGCTGAGCTCATGAGGCATATTCAGTCTCGCCCCCCTCCCCCGCCCCAACTCCCACCCCTTCAGCCCCTGAGCTTAAACACAGCCTGTCTCTACAGGAGCAATCAGGCTGGATTGCTCTGCTTTTTTCATAGGGGTTTCAAAGCCAACCGGGGGGGACTGACACGCTCCCATGATCCTTCAGGAGTTTGTGATATAAAGGAACGGGATTCCATTAACCTAATGGACTTGCTTTTATCTTCAAAACAGATGTAATGTCATCTGATTGCATTGTTAACTTTGGCCACTATGGAAACAAGCATAGGTTGACCTTCAGAGATAAGTCTGATAAATGCATTAGTATGAGAAATGTTAAAGGGAGCTCTTGGGATTACGGGCGTATGGTTATTTTAATCAATATGTCATCATGTATCAGGGAACTTCAGAGAACTAAAAGGAACCAACCTGTTCGATGGGGCCGGTTCCTCCACACAGGATGCGTAATGTTCGCCGTATGTGAAATATCGTAGCAGGATGGGGCGTTAAATTTAAATCTGGGCAAATTAATGTGCGACGGGTAAAGGAGACTTGAGGAAGTGCTATATTAACTCCAACAAAAAAAGGATGGCTTCAAAAATAACTCAGTATGTAAGGAAATGGTCTGGGATTTAATGTAGAGCTTTCGTGTACGTGTGTTATTGGTGGAGAAAGGAAAGGTAAGCCCTGATCATAGCCATCAAGATACCTCCTCTGGGACAGATAGGTAATCGGGACTCCAGAGCATCATTTTTGTAACACTTTACTTAAAGGAGTCACCATAATGCATTTTACAGAGCAATACCTTCATAATGCATAATAATGGATTCATAAAGTATTATACACACTGCTATAACTATTTATAAACAGACAAAGCACATTATAGCCATGTCTGCAGTATGAATGTTGGGTGACGCTCTCATCTATAATGCATTATGATGGTCAGAATAAGCATTAAGGATGCTTTGTACTGCATTATGAAGGTATCTATAGTGCATTATAGATGAGAGCATCATAAGACAGTCATAATACATAATAAACATGGCTATGTGTTACACCTTTTAATGAATAGCCGTGCGTATAATACTTTATGAATGTATTATTGCACATTATGAATATGGAGTTATTGTGGAGGACCAGGTACACTATATGATACAAACACTGTTCCCTCATGATGTCGCCATGTTCCACAGTGATAATGCCCCCCCTCTTCACTACTGCACAAATTCAGGAGTGCTTTCCTGAACATCAACATGACATCAAACACCTTCTATGTTCTGGAGCTCAGAGTGTAGAAGCAGTTTTTCACCTCCTTCATTCCTTGAAGAACTGCATGTGTATGTATATATTTCTAAAAGTACCCTTTGTCATTCTTTAACTGGCTTTTATTAAGATAAGCTTTTGATAATTAAAAATTACCCCACAGGCCAAACAGCTTGCACCGAGCTGTTCCAGCAAATTGATTTACTTATCTCTTGTCATTATGAATTTTCTATAGCTGAAGGGTAAACATGTGGAACTGGATGTTTTGTAGAGCCTGTGGTTAAAAGAGGCATATTAGTCTATTAGTCTGGATGAAAATACTTAACTTTAGAAACCTTTCAAGTATAGAATGGAAAAAAACAGAAAATAATCCTGCCTGACTTCCATGTATTGATCAGAAAAGGAGAGGCAGGGGAAGGTAACTAATGACCTTAACCTTGCGCACTTGTGATTTTTTTTTTGTCCATTTGCTGTAATGAAAGTGGCATCACACTGTTCTAAGGCTATTTTTTCTTTCATGTTCAGACTTCAAAGACGCAGCTGACAAGCAATACGCTTCACCTGCGTCGATCCTCAGGGCACACACACACACACATACACACACACACATACACACACACACACACATACACACACACACATACACACACA